TATAAAAACAATCATAAACAATTTCTATGCCAATGAATTTAGAAATTAATTAGTCCTTTTTTGATACCACAACTTTCCTCACTTGAGTTTTTTTCTTAGTGAGGTTTTTACACATATTGAGTGTTTTTGTTAAGATATAATTCATTTTTTTTTTTGTTAAATTTTCGGTATCTTTAGCTTATGAATATTGCTGGAAAATGATAATGTTAACATTTTAAGCTCCATCGTTCATAATACATTTTTGTATCACTGCATCTAACCTATTAATTACTGTGACAAATGATAATTGGCTAATGTCATTGAATTAGGTGGCAAATCACTGAGTGACGGCAATGGTAACAAATAATATAATGCATGTAGACTAACGAATTGGTGTTACCACCACTACCAATCACTGTTCAAATAGCGATTGCAACCTACGCTTGGTTTGCTGGTCCAGTTGCTTGGAAGGGGAAATATGGGTGGCCAGTGTAAACGCTGCGGCGTGTACAACATAGACATTGTTAAATGGTTGAAAAAAATAGTGTTTCAGTCAATAATTATGCTGATACTTTTGCATATAACTCACACTGTAATTTTCTTATCTACTTGAAATTTATAAAAGTATCATTTACCTATCAACCTGTGTATATTTCAAATCAATCCATTCATTATTTTAGGCCACAGAAAGATCTGACCATTTTTTGTAAAATAACATAGGTTTAAATATGAGTTGCCTCTCTGGTGTAATGTGGAGTTATCACAAGTCTCGACCTTTTATTTTTACTTAGCTCTTATAATATTCAACAAAGCAACCGTCAAGTTTTTCATTTTTTTATTTAGTTGATTATAAAATATTTTTTAAACAATAAACATATAAAAATATCAATTTTGTATAGTATTAGATGATGACATTGGAGGTGTGCCATTGACAGGAGAGACAGGGGGAAAAAATATCAAAGCAGCTGCATTTGTTCCATCTAGATGGGAGACTGTAGACCCTCATGAAGCTGAAGAACAAGCTATGACCACTAGCAAATGGGAGATGTTAGAAAGAGAAAATAAAAGTTATAATAGTGAGTCCGTCGATCAAGATTCTCCAGATGATGACTTTAATGAAACAAGGTATTTAAAAATAATTTGTATTATTGATTGTTATAATCAGAGGTTCATAAACCGTGCACTGTATACCTACATAACCTTGGTACATTATATTTTTGGGGGGTTTTCAAACACTTATCATATCAAGGAATTGTATGCATTTTTATATTTGACTTTTAGAGAAAATGCTGATGATCGAAGAGCTAAATTAAGGGAAGTAGAAGTAAAAGTTATGCAATATCAAGATGAATTAGAATCTGGCAAAAGAGCATTAAAAGGCGGTTGGAATATATATCAACAAGTGGAACATTACAGACGTAAACTACTTAAAAAAGCACAAAAGTCTCCAGTAAGTTTATCAATTTCTGTTAATTTTATTTGTTTTAACATGAAATATTAAAATAAATAGATGTCTTCATTAGAGTTAACAGATTAACCATTGAAGTTTGTATACTTATATCATTTACATCTTACATTTATATTCGACGTAATTAAGTTGTACAATAGTTTGAACTCTTATTGTTTGACCCATATGGAACATTGTACTAAAGCTATGTGGTAAAATCTGACAATAATTTTGATTGAGAATTCTTATATCGCTTATATCATATTTTACATTGGAAATTTTGAATGAAATACATCCCAATATATATTGTTTTAATTACTAAAAGATAATGTTGTTTAGATGACTGGAATGGTATATACTTTTTTTTTTTAGGAAAAGGAATTGAAATTGGAAAAAGAAAAAAAAGATAAAGACAAAATCAATAAAAGATTAAGTCCTGATGAAGACTATCGTGATGGTAAGAAAAAAAAACGATCTAGAAGTCCTTCAAATAGCCCCGCATATAGTAAATGGTCATCTCATAGCATAAGGTATATTTTAACAAATTGTATATTCTATTTTCTATTCTTTAAGTATACCTTGTATTATTCCAGAAGTGATAGTTTAAGTCCTCCTTCGAGAAAAAGACCAAGTTCACCACAACGTAATAACAAAAAAACAAGAATATCACCAATTGATTCTCCTCGTTCATTATCAAGAAGAAGGGACCGTGAACGTGATGAAAGACATAACTATCGACACAAAAGATCACATTCGCGATCACCTCATCGGCACCATGTACGTACACCTCCAACACCATTGTCACATACATCACGAAAGCACAAACACAAATATTAATTATGAATACTTCTTGTGTAATGAAAAATATTTGTCATGATGTTTTTCCTATATTTATATATACAGTTCTTATAAATAATTTGACTAATGATTTTGTCAATTCATAAATTATTATTCAATTTTAAAAATAAAATAGATTTTAATAATCAAATTTATTTCGTTATAATTGTTACAACTTTGACCATAACTGTCAATTTGTATCCTAATTTTATAATGATTTTTATTAAAATATTTCTATAATTGTGAATAGTGATGTCTCCATTTTTATTTTTCCAACATTAAAAATGTGAAATGTTAAATTTAAGACTTCATTTAATTTTATTAAATACATTTAGTTTAAATAAAGTATTTTATCTGTATGAACGTGTTTCAAAAATACTTAAGAGACGGGCAAGTGGGTACCACTCTGCTATACACGAGTGTTATGTAAGTCTCTGTAATGGATGTGTTAAGTTTAAAAAAAAACAAAGACCATCTGTCAGCCTATGTTACTAAGTATACTTTACAATATAATTGCTATTGTAGTAAAATTATTTTACTGATAGTAATACATTACTACTAGTAAAATTATTTTACTACTGTATCTGTTTTGCCAAAAAAAACTGAATTTAAAAATGTCAATGTGTGTATAAAATATAATAATAAGATTATAAGTATCCAGAAAAAATATTTTTAAATTACAGCTGAATAACTAAAAATTGTTATTCTTCATTTAAATATCAAATTTCCCAGGAATTAGAACTTAAAATGTCTATAAAAAAATTGTGTGTTTGTATATATTTATATTTTTTGGTTACAGTATGAACTAATTATTAAGATCCTTGCCTTGAATATTCAATCCTAAACTATACATTTTAATTTCAAATTTGTTTGCAAAATTTCTAGATTGTCAGGAATTAAATCAACATTTGATATTTAAATGGTAAAAAAAAATATCCAAATATCTCTGTGTCTCTTTAATATTTTTTAACTGCTATTATAACAACTTATGAGGAACAAAATTATATTTTCAATTCTTAGATATAAATAGAAAAGTTTTTATGAATTAAACTCAAAAATAAATTGCAAATATTTGTGATTTCAATGAAATTTGTCAAAATTTAAAATTCAGATAATCATTATAACATAATTGTGGATTTGGTTAACTTTTTTTTTAACTTCCTATGACAACAACTAATGGGGAACCTTGTATTAAATTTTCAAATTTTTGACACAGCGAATTCCTATAACAAGCTCAAAAAGAGTCAAAATATTTTGAAAATGTTATAATGTAGAAAAAATTCTAAAATAAACATTCAGCAAAAATTTCATGGAACTACACCATAAATAATGTAAATAACATATTTATATATTATCTATGATCTACAGTTTTGCCCTCTAAGCTAAGTATTTACTAGAATAAATCTTAGTATTTTAACTGCCCTAAAAAGCTATGCCAGATAGAAAAAAACACATTATTGCAAAATTAATACATTCTTGTGCTTTGCTAATAATCTGAAATGTGACAATGCATTTTCAATATTTCTTAATTTATTTATAAATAACTTCTAAGGAACCTTATATTAATTTTGTATTTTCAAGCTTTTTTTACCCAATAAGAGTAATTGTTTCATACTCACACTAAAACCAAAGAAAAATTAACGTAAGAAGCTTAAAATATATCTATATAAATGATTTCATTTCTTCAATACTAATATCAATATTCGATGAAAATATCAGTTCTCCATACAATTATTCATTTTTGGTTTACAACAATAAAACTCCCATTTTTCTTAATTATTTTTGTTTTTTCCGGTTATTTTAGTAAATAATGGTAAGGTTTTATATTTATGACTTCCCAAAATAGCAAATTTTGCAAAGTATTTTTAAATGTGGTCACAGACATTCAAACAGCACTCATCATTGTAAAATCAATAGACTCATCAGTTGTCTCTCTATTTTATCCCCTCAGATTCTAAAATATTAAACAGTTAAAGATTGTGTATTAATGTATTTATTTATTATTCTCTGTTGAACACATATAGAAGATAGAAAGATCAAGACACTGATTTTTTTTTTGATTTTTTCTCTAAAATTAGTACCAACAAAAATAAAATACATTTCTACTATAAAATAATTTTCTAACTAAAAATGTATCTACAGGAGTAACGTTTTTAAAAAGGCATGAAATCAGACTGGGTAGGTGAGTAAGAGAAAGCCAGATTATCGGCAACCTCTTTTCCATGTACCCAATCCAAAGGGAGTGAAATGTAAATTATATAGCTTAGTCATTCATTGATTGAAAGTGAAAATAATAGACTTAATAAGAAAAACAAAAGGGGTCAGATAAGAGTTGATGGGGTTGGAAATTAAGGCTTTTACACATGACGTGTCAGACTTTTAAATAAGTATTCAGGACTAAATATAAAATTATAGTCTAGGGCTTAAGGCTTGAACTATCAACCATGGAATAAGTTATGCCTTAGAGGTTCCTTAGAGTATATGCCAAACATAACAGTAGAACACTATATATATTATTATAAGTAAGTTTAAAACATTGTTCTCCGGCCTCTGCTATAACATTTTGTATAACACTTGGTCGTAAAGAGGAAAAACAAAAATTTCATACATTTAACGATGTTGGTATGCTTTGTTTCTATTTCTTCCATGGCAACACCCTCGACTTATCAAAATAATAAATAAATAGCAGGGACGAAGGTTTAGTTTATATATATATGTATAATATTATAATCTGTGCTATTATAGTATTATATAAGTCTGTGATAAATATTAATAACAGTATACGAAAGTTTAAAATAATTTTTGTTTTTTGTGTAATATTTGTTGAGGCATTAACAAATGACAAAACGTACTATTTTTATTGGTTTATAATTAATTCAATGGACTGTTAAGAGAAGTTATTTACTATAGATCAAATGGGCCAAAAATCTAGTCAATTCTCCACCGAAGAGTTAAATGACTATCAGGTAATTTTCAAAGAACGATTTATTTTATAATATAATATACATCAACGTGTATCAATTCAGGCTATTAAACATATTATACGACTTGTGCTATGGATTTATGTAATATACCTTAGTGTGATGTACATTTTTAATTGTAACACGTCAAAGATAGATAAAATTGTAATAAATTGAAGCTCTGAGAGATTAGGTATTATTTCACTACATTTAAAGATTATTTTTTAAGATTCATTACATGAACTCGTAATTTTATGTATATAGTATAAGAATAAATAATTCAATAAACCTTTATCTAAGAATCATATTGGTTAAAATTATAAATAAACATTAAAGTTTTGAATTATTTGATATTGTTAACTGAGTAATATTTGTATTTAAAATCTAAGAGATTTTGAAGTTTGATCATACAATATGCCAATATATTCATGTTAAATTAACTTCTAAGTGTATATTAAATGCATTTTTAGCTTACACATTAAACTTGCATTATAATTCATATTTTTATAGTATACAATTTTTGAATGAATTTTTTTGTTGATACGATTTAGAAACCAATCGATACTTAAATTTTGTATCCCATGAATATTTATAATCTAGATTGGTACTTGTCATCATAGACTTATTAAGGCCATCCATAGACCATATAGGTACTAGAATAAAATATAACTTCGAAGTTCGGGGGTGTCGTAATAGATCCATATACTTTCTATTGTTCTATGCTTATAGTTTAGCTCAGAATATAATGTACCTATAATTATTGTAATAAAAGTAGTTATGTAGTACGTATAAATCATAGATAATAATATAATATAAGAACATAATATTATGTTTTATTTAAATACAGTCGATTACGGCACCAAAATGTTATCATTTTTTATTATCAGTGTTATCTCATAATTTAATTATATACTTGGAGTAATAAAACTATTTATAAAACTATTGAATATTTTGTGAAGTTAAATCACATGAATTGGGATAATGAACAACATTTTGACAAACCTATTTTACTTATTTTTATTTTATACTCAATATATTATTGCATTTATTTCATATTTAGCATTACCCACTTACCCGCATTTTTATTCATCTTCATAACATCAGCTATTAGGCTATTAGTTTACATTATGTCAACATAATGTTTGAATATAATAGTAATACAATTTGGTTTAGATTAAATATTAAAGTTATATTATTAATTTTCCTTTAGGAAGTTAGTGATATAAATGTCAGATACGAGGTCGGATTGCCAGTGCTTCTCCTTATTGTTGTTACTCAGACTATGAAAATCATTTGTGATGTTAATTTCTTTAGTCTTCGAATTGTTAGCATTTGGTTAGGTTGTTCTTAACCGTGTGATCGAGGGTATTCTCAGATACGTCTTGTTTTTAATTTTATCCTTTTTCAATGTGTGTGGTTTGGTGCAATCTCAAATATAGGATAGTTGTTATCTCGATAAGCCCTTAATTTTTTGTTGAACATTTAAGAAAGGATTTTGAGATTGTTGTTTATAAATGGTTGCTATTGGTTACAGCTCACAGATTACCATACTATAATAGTAATGGGAAAAATTAGAATTTATTGCCATTGGTTACCTATTTAAGCAGATGAGTTAAAAGCATGCATTAGATCGTCGCGTGTATGGTTCCAAGTAAAGAAATCATATCTTAAAACAATTATTATGGGAGTTGAATATATGATTGTTGCATATAGGTAACCTACTCAAAAACGTCTTAACGGATTTCGTGAAAATGTCTAATCGTCTTTAGAGATATTTGGAAAATGTAGATTATAAGTTAAACTACGTTCGATTTATATATCAAGGGTTAATATATAAACTCAAAAAAAAATTTTTTTTTAAGAACGCTTACCCAATGTTAAGAGTGTATCTAAGTTAAAATATTAACATAATAAATAAAAATCATAAAATATTTTTGAGGTATAATGACCTTTTTCTGGGGACGCACTCTGAACATTACCTAAGAGTCAATTTAAAAATTCGAGAAACTCCGATGCGTCCAGTACGACATAGTAAACAGGGCCGCGGCGTCTGGTTTTATTTGACGTCACTAGTGGTTGAAGTGGCTCAAAATAAGTGGAGGGGTGCCTTTCATAATTTTTTTAGTTTTCATACATTGGTTAAACAGTCGTACAAATAAGTGGAGTGACAGAAAATGTGAATTATAAAAAGTGGTGGGATGCCATTCCACAGTATCCCCCCCCACTTCGACTACTGGGGATGCACTAACTATGTTGATAATATCGTTTTATCGACATATTTTCATTTTTGAGCATTTATTATATATTTAAATAGTTGTATTTTGTAATTTATTATTTTTTTGGTGATAAATTAAAAAAAGATTCTAGGAAATTCAATGTTACATTTTCGAAGTAGGTATTTGTAAATTATTATGAATGATAACCGTTTACCAGAAGACACCTAAAACTAGGATAGGGGTGCTCATAAATGAAAATTCTTCGATGTATCGTTGTTCCCCATTTCATTTCTGTGCAACCCTAGTCAGCTCACATTTACAAATACTAGTTTTCACATTTATATCTTAATCCATGTTTTATACAGATAGCATAGTAAACTATCAGCGCCCATTGTAACCGAACTTGTCTCTTGTACATTCGAGGCCACTGATAACATGCTACTTTCTACCCTTCTAGAGTCTAGACCTTTTACGCATGCGCAGAAGTGCGGGTCACCACGGTCGGCATTTCCCGCGTTTACCGCGAGAACTACCACAATGCTCCTATAATATTTGTTTATAGGTCTATGGACTGTGATATGTGAGTACATACAGTTAGGTTTATTTATTTGTTATAATAAAATAGTTCGGGGCCGCAGTCGCTAATGTGAGCTGCGGTCAGGCGTCGTTCGGCGTCGCCAGTCCCGGATGGCGGATTGTGAGTCGTGACTCCCGAGTGGTGACCACCTAAGACCAGACCACATGGTTTTTAGCATAAACCTTATACTAAATAATAGTGGTAGACCATCGATAATAAAGAAGGGATAGACCATTAGACCTAATCGTACGTTCTCGTTTTCAAGGAGCCTCATCTATTATATTCTATTATAATTAATGATAAAAATTCCTCTCATTTTGGACCGCGACTTCTTGTTTTGTTTATGTAGGTGATTGTGATAGGTGATGATTATGAGGATCTATATTCCTTGGTAAAAGCCCGTATAAGGTCCATGGTTTTTACTTTTTAGTAACGGTTCCTCACGGAATGTCGCTTGACTAAAATGACGAGCCTTCAGCGCTATCTACCAGCATGCAATATAATATAGCACGGGAAAACCACGGTTATTTAATTACATTCAAATGTTCATTTAGCATTAAATATTAATAATATACAAATAAAAATTAATATAATAATACCTCATTAGTTATTTGCCATTATTGTTTTCGGAAAACATGTATTTATTAGTGTAGTCAATAGGTACATTAATTTCCTTAAGAACGCAGTGTGTTGGTGAGGGGCACCCATGTAGAACAGTGAATTCAACAATTCATGTAAACTTTCAAGATCCATGTTTCACATTTTCAATGTGCCCATTTGCCCCCATAAGACATTTCTAATATTTCTACTTTCTAGTTATGACCCATGACTTACGAGTACATAATAATTAATACTCATGACCCACAATCAGTGTAGCCATACTTTTACATTATTTATCATGCATTATCCCGAATAAATGTATATAAACAAATGTATTAGTTCTACTTGGGTTATCAGTGTTACTATAATATTCCAAAAGGGAATTTAAATTATTTTCATTGTGTCTACACTGTTACTGGGATAAAGTTTGTTGCCCGCTTATTATCATTAAGCTTCCCGTATTCTCATTTTAAAGTATTTGATATTATATAGTTTCACGTCGGACGTGTAAATAGCCATCGCGATATTTATTGGCGGTTGTTGCAAAAAAACGCTTGTATGTACAAGGATCCAGCCATGGATGAGAATCCACCTTTAAAGAATGGTGATCCCATGGAACTTTCCTCCGATGACATACTTGGTGTAATGAAAAATATTTCAATGGTCAAAAATGGCTTAATGTCTTATGAAAATGACACTGAACAAGTTGAAATTGGTAATAGTGATGCAGATGCAATGTTTACAATTGGCGATAATGACTTAAGTTCTTTTGAAAGAGATCTATTAGATAATGTAATTGGAATGGCAGAAGAAGAAGTAGTTACTCAATACGATGAAACACCAACTGTAAAAGAAAAATTCAACAAATACATGAACAAAGGTAAAATGTTGAGTGAGCGACTTCAAAAAATAATATCAAAGCTACAAAATATACAACTTAAAACCATGAGCAAATGTTCCACTCAAGAAATCTATAATGTGCTACAATCACAAAAAAGTAATGCTATTAAAAATATCAAATCAACACTGCTCAAAGTTCAAAAAAGGCAATCTAATCCATTTTTGAAAAGTTTACTTTGTGATGAAATTAAAGATGGTGAAAAGGTCTTCGGAATGCTTGAGTCGCAAATTAAAACAGTAAATGAAGAATATGATTCGGAAGCAACAGCCAGTGATTCAGAAAGTGATACGTTAGGAGAAACTAGCGAAGAAGAATTACAATCATCTAGTTGTCCTATTGAGAAAAGAAATTCTTGGAAATGGCTTCATGAACGAGTAAGTATTGCTTACCGATTAACTTGGCTTGTTAATGTTATGTCTGATATTGAGTTCAAAATCAATTTTTATAATGAAGCTTTAAATCGGTATTCTTCTCATCCATTTATACAAGACCAGGAAGAAGAATCTGGTAGAAGATGTTTTCCATATGAACCAAAAACTCAACATAGAATGTTAATGCAACCTCCACTCATAAACTTGGCTGCAGCTTTAAAACAGGGGGACAAAGCAAAATTAAATCGTATTAATCCCTGTGACTGCTATGGTATTGATTCTTGTCCCACTTGTGTAAGTCTTCAGCGCAATTCAAATGATTCTGGTCATTTTTTGAGTGATACTTTTCATCCAGTCCTATCATATTCTAAAGATATTTCTTTAAATGTTGCGCTATCGAATGAGTTAGGAAAATCGTCTTTTCATCTAAAACAAAAAAATAAGTCTTCATCAGATACAGATTTTAATAAATATTTTGTGGACCGAACGCCTGAACAAAGTCCTCCTATTAGGCAAGTTCCACCTGTTAAACTACAAAATGCCTGGCCAACCCGCAATGATCCAATTACTAAATTCAATCGAAATCAAAGACAAGCAAGAAAAAGGAGACGTATGCGTTATAGCAAGCATAAAAGAAGTAGAATGGATGAAGATTATAAATATAATAGTCGAAGAAGTAGTGAAAGTATTTGTGACGATGATGATCTTGATGAGGCGTATGAAGAAGACAATTATGACTCTGATCCAGATTATAGCCCTTGGTTCCCAAGAACCGGGGATAAAACATACAATGCTAAGCGTGAATATGATATTGACAATATTGTTATTCCATATAGTATAGCTGCTGCATCAAGAGTTGAAATGGTAAAATATAAAGAAATAGTTACACCTAAGTGGCGCATTGTTAAAGAATTAGATGTAGATCCAGTTGAATTTGCTGCAACAGTTCCAGAACCAGATGTTGTTGAAGATCTTGATGATGGAAGACGCAGTGCTCATCATGAAGCATGTGAAATTGAAGAACGAATGAGATTCAGGACTATAAAGAAACAAACAGAGCGCACACATAAGAATAGTGGGCATTGTAGTAGTGGTGAGAATACATCTGAAGCAATGTCACCACTATTTGAAAGTCGGTCTCCAATGCCTACTGTGGAAGAGGAACCAGATGCAGGACCTAGTAATCAAGATTGGAACCAATAAAATATTTTTATTAATAATTAATGGATAAATATTGTATATTATAAATTGTATAAACCAAAGTTAATGCTGTAGGTTAGTTTCACATAAAATTAATTGTCATATTTAGGTATATTTTTTTTTTATAAATTAGAACTAATGTAAAATATATTTTCTTAACTTGTATTATACAAGTTGTATAGTAAAATATAGCCTGATAAACATTTACTTTTATTTTTAAAGTGGACAATTATATTTCATTAAGATATATCATATTTTCTCATTTATTTTATTTTTAGGATCTCACTTATTTTACAAAAAAAGAAGTTTTGATGTAAGTACCTATATTATAAATTATTAAGAAAAATAAAATAAAAATCTATTACAAATTATGGGAATTTTATCATAAATCTAAAACATAAGGTGTATGTGTAATACAATGTTTAGTGCACATGAAAAGTTCAAATCTTTAGCTCCTGAAAAAGTGGGACATAATAAAAATGCCAAATTAGCCCTAAACAAGGTCCTTAAGCTACCTGAATTGGCAGCTAATCCTTTTGGTGAACGCATGTGTCAAGTATTCAGTTCCAGCCAAGATGGAGATTGTACATTTGAAGATTTTTTAGATATGATGTCAGTATTTAGTACTATGGCACCTGCAGATGTAAAGGCTGAACATGTCTTTAGAATTTTTGGTAAGAGATAATATACGATCATTAAAAAAAAATGTGATTTACACAATTAATTGTGCTTAAAAAATTCTAAAATTTAAGTATAAAATTAATTTAAACTTATCATCAAGTAATAAATACATTTCATTAAAAAGATATAATCATTACAGGTTCTCTGGTTCTGTACAGAATTCAAGTTCTTTTATAACTAGATTATATCAAAGTTATAGGCTATCAATAAAATCTGGCTTTCAAAAGTACATGCCATATTTTATTTTTTATCTTAAAATTTCTATTAATAATATTTTAATGGATTTTGAACCTATAGCTTATTAATTATTTTCTATTACTGAAAAATAGTAAAATCATTAAATAATTTAAATAAATTCTTTCGCATACTAATCAAAATTTTTAGATTTTGATGGTGATGACATGTTGGGCGTTGGAGATATAAAAAAAGTAATTCAATGTTTAATTGGAGAACAAAATGCCTTTAATGATAATGATCTGAAACGTTTGGTACAAAAAATATTTGAAGAAGTAGATTTTGATGATGACGGCGCTCTTTCATTTTCTGAATTTGAACACGTAACTGACATGTGTCCAGATTTTGTTAAGTCAGTATATATTTCTTATTGTATTATCACTGCTTTTTTAAATTGTCCTAGTACTTGTTTATTTTTCTAGAACATGCATTTTTAAATGTTCAATTTTTTTAAGTAGATTGTATTCAGTAATTGTCTGTATTTGTGTTCATTTTTTTTTGTATTTAATATACCGCATGAATTGCATGGTTGTTAAATAAATATGAGTACCTAGTTTAAGACATATATTATTTATTTTTTCAGATTTAAATATTCATAACATTATTATACCAAATGTTAAGTCACTTATACATTAGTGACTTTTTGTTACCTTTCGTATTAGAGTTTCTGAATATTTTTTTATATTTTTCTCCGTTGTATTTCAATGTGACTCTTAGGTGCAACTAGGACCATATTTAATTTTTTTTTTTTGTGGGGGGAAACTTCAGACCTCAAAATATTTTCTCTTTATTAATCTGTGTGGACATATATCCTACTAAGTTGATATATTTTTAAATGGATTGTATTTATTATGTATAATATTTATCCAGTAAGATTCACCAAGTGTGTAAAACCTCCATTTTTTCCTTTAATAAAGGATAATTTTAATAAATATTTATTTAAATTTTGATTATTGGAATTTTAAATATACTGAAGGGCCATATTTTCAATTATTTAGATTTAGTAACATTATGAGTACAAAATGACCTTAGTAATTTACTGTAAAAAAGTTGGTTATGCCATGTTTCATTCCTCAAATGGTACAAAAATTGTAATCATTTTCCAAATTTGAGAAACAGCCTTGCAGTGTCCCCTTTCTTGGCCTATTTTATTGAAGAAAACATTTATTGTGATTTATTATCCAATAAATATTTGGGAGTTAGGGGCTAAGTTCTTAATCTTTAACGCCTAGTTGTCTATATCAGTAAAAATATTGTAGATACATATAATTATGGTCAATGGTCACGGTCTAAAAGCTGTATCATAAAAAACATAATTAGTAAATTACTGTAGAAATATTTAGTCTTTATTCTGTAGTTAATAGTTATACTGAATACAGAACCCAGATTGCAGAAAGTGGCAAGTTTGAACCTCTTCATAGTTGTTATTTATCATTGGGAACCAACATACTAAAGATAATGTTAGCTGCATCTCACTAAAACCGATTCATACAAAGACTAATAATAACTTTAATATGTCTATGAGCTCACATACTTCAAAATACCTATTCTCAATCTAATAGAACTTATAATAAACTGCCTAATGACTGAGGGTTAAAAATTGATGTCATGTACAATAGGCCGTGGTTAAAAACTTAACTTAACATAGTTGTTATTGGAAGAGCTGGAAATTGAATGATTTCACTTGTTGATGAAGTTCAATAAATTTAAAAACTAATAGTGTAGCTATTATCAAGACTTACGACTTATAAATTATAAGTATGGTCTGGGACTTATTGCATTTGAATATACTTTAATTATGGTTTTAGAATATTTGAAGTAAGATATAAATTTGTTTTGAGACTTGATCAATTTAAATACAAAATTGATTTAGCAAATTTAAACTATTTTGGGTGTATACGTCCAAAACATTTAGTGCATTAAGACCCGAATCCTACTTAATACCCATAACTACAAAAAAGTTTTAAATAGGTTGACCATAATATATGAATTATTTTACTTTAGTAGTTGTATTTTTCAATGTTATTATATTTAAATATTTTGATATAGTAGCTGCGTTATTTGACAGTTATTCAATTAATGTTTAGGGACAAACATGATTATGGATAAGAATAATATCAGTTAAATTATTGTAATTAAAATGTATTCGGTTCAGCAAAAATATCTAACCTTAACAGAATTCAAACGTTCCAAAATATATCGCTTCGACGATTATCCAATGCTCCACCCTATATTTCTAACTATACTCTGCATAACAATCTCCATATGAGAACAATAGTTGAAGAAGCACGCATTTTTTACACTCGTTTTCACAAACGACTCCATTCACACCCTAACCCTCTCATAAACGATCTTTCTATCCTTATATTACCTGGAAATCCTAACCGCAGACTGAAAAGGAAGTGGTGCCGCGACCTTTTACAAAACTTTAATGTCTAACGTCTCCAAAAAAAAAAAAATATATAAATTATGTAATTATAGTAAAAATTAATTAAAAGAATTAATCAATTAGTCAAGAGTCACTGATGGGTGGCTGCTTAAATCACGCCTGTCACCTATCATGTACTTATATCATAAGCTTATTGTGCAAATTGTACAGATTGTTTATTTCAAATATAAAAAAAAAAATGTATTCAAATAATGCTATAAATAAGTTTAAAAATTCCCAACTGTACTGCTTGTTGCTTCAACTAGGCAATAATTGTGTACAGTCTAGGATATCATTGTTTTACATAACTGTATCTATTTATTTCAAACCTCTGTGTTTTGCTTATCAATCACTTCAATGTTACTTCATCTACCTGTGTTACCAATAAAATATGAAAATTATGGGTTTACTGTTTAATATTATACATTCAACCATTTTGGTCATGAAATTTTGTATAGAGAGAGTTGGAATTTTATGGTCTCGTTGTAGTGAAGAATACTCTTGAACATGTGGTTGCTGGCATACTGTTACCAAAGTGTTAAAAATATCAAGGGGCTCCCGCCATCCTTCCCTGTTTTTTTCAATTTAACAATTAGATGCAAATCAAATCGCCTACATAATGCAATGTTTAATAATTTATTTTTACGTTTGAACTGAACATATAATTAAATATATTTATGATGGTAAACTGATCTATGATGTATTAATTTAACAATGATGTTTTTTTTGTGTCTGTGTACATGAAAAGTAGTAAAAATAAATTCTTACAACATTTACAATTTTTTACTCTGATGGTGGTCAAGTATAGTTAAATTTTTTAGGGTTAAATTTGAACATTTTCAATATTCTTAAAAAAAATCGGATAAAACAGCAAAATTAAGAAACTACATAAACAGTTTTTTTACAGATAATTTAAGTTTAAATTTGGACAAAATTTATATTTAAACAAAGAATAACAATTTTAGTTATTTTATTGTTAATTATTTTAAAATACTGTTCATACTATAACAAAAAATTCTAGGCTATATAGTGTTAAAAAGCGGCTATTTATTGTTCGTATTTTGTTAATATTTATTTATCTTTATATTTAAAATTCTTTGTACATAAATTTAATCCAGTCTATTCATCATGATTTACACAACTAAAAATCTACTATGACACAATCATAGATAAATTTGGTGATCTGCACCACTGACTAGTTCCACTCCTATAGGAATCAGCTGAAGACCTGCAGTAAATAGTTTCACTTTTATAAGAAAACTGTTCCTCTTTAGTAATTTCATGAATATTTGTATAATGTGAATTGAAATCATTCACAACTCGGATAAAATGATAGGTGGAAGTTCATTTGTAATGATAATAAGACCGAGTGGGTTTATCAAGGTCTATAATGTCAGCAAGATCATCTGGTTCCTCTAGTTTATTTGTGGAAAATAGTTTAAATGATTTTGCAAAACATAAATAAATGGATTTTTATGCTCAGTATTTAGTAAGGCTGGAAAAGCCATTTAGAATTGATAACTGTTGTTGGTGTCAAATTAATTATAATTAAATGTTGATTTGGCATCTGCTAAACACATACGGGTTTTTGCATTACTAAAGGATGGAATGGTATTGAGTTAGTGTGGTTTCACATATTGTGGTAGGTATGGCATTGCATTGATAATTGACAAATTATTAATTTAGTTTCCAAAATGGAGATAAGTTGTAAATCTAGGATCTCGGAAAAGACAAGTTGTAGTCAGTGTATTAACTAACAAGAATATTGGCAGTTTATGTCATTCCTATAATTTATTCCAAAATCTATTTTGTATTTAAAATGTATTATAATAATTAATTATGAAAAATAAGGTCATATGGAATAACATATGTCACAAAATGCATGTAGTTTCTTTGATTTGATTTACTTAAATATACATAACTAAATGACATACTATTTGTATTTTAAGTTTATTAGTTATACTTAATAAAATATTTCATTTTTACAGGATGTTCAATATTAAACTTTGAAAAGATAAGCTAAGGAGAAGAATAAGTTGGAAAATAGTGTACACATATTAAAAAAAATTTTATGAACAAATTATACTTCATTATTATTTGTTTTAATTATTATTTATTTATTACAACTTGATGCATAATATAATATATAAGTTGAGGATATTGATTGGCTTATGAAAACATGTAAAATAAAAATAAAAAAGTGAGTTTTGTTCAATGATATTTATTTCTTATGACTTCAAGTATCCCCTGCAAAAATTAAATAAGTATTTATTAAGAAAATAATAAGTTATAACATATAAATTAATAAGTTTATATTATGGTGTGTAAATGCTTTTTGATTCACAGATACTTGTATTTTTTCTGGTAAATAAACTATTGATAAAAAAGCATATATGGTGGATATCAAACATTTTTTCTTTAACGCTATCATATAAGTATACAAAATGTCAGTTGATATTATATTATATTGTATTAACCAGTATTAAATAATGGCAACATTAATTATAGAATTTTAATGACTTAATAAATTGAGTTTTATAATTTATCATTAATATTTTTCTATTTAGGTAATTGTTTTTAAAATTACATTTAATATGATATAATCAGAATTTTTATAAGCTGATATAACTTAATATCAATTTTTAAGTAAAAGATTATTTTACAGTATATGAGCATCAGTGCACATACTTATACAGACTGGTTAACAATTTAAATAACTAAATGTTGTAAAGAACAAAAGTAAGATTTTTAAATGGAAAATATTTTTACAGCATCTAGTCCATACATTTAAATTTTTAAAATAATCTCTTAAAACAACTTAGAAACAACTCTGAAGTATAAATTATTATAATTTAAAATAAATTTCAATACTTTAGATTCTCAGCAAGGCCATTGATTGAATAAATTGATTTTACAATAAAAACATAAACATTGATAGCTAAGGATGGACAATTTAAAACGAGGTTACTCATAAGTAATTCATGCTCTAACTAAAAATATATTTAATTTGTAAATAGATAATGACATTTTTAAATTGATTAACATTATATATTCATACAGTGTCCCTTGAGGATATACCCATTAGCCGTAAAGGGGGAATCACCACCTAGACAAAAACCGGTTTTTTGCCTTTTTACCTATAAAGTAAAAATGATTAAAAAATAATGAAATTAATAAAAATAAATTGTTGAGATCAAAATTTTCAGAAAAATAAACTGTAAAAAGTGGGTATCTTCAATTGTTTTAAATATAAAAAAACAAAAAAATAATTTTTTTAACTTTTCTACCAAAAAGTTTAATTAAATTCAAAAATTAAATATATGTAGTCCTTGTTTCTGTAAGTGTGAAAAAAAAAACAAATTTATGAAATATTTATTATCTCAGAAGATATTACAATGGGTAGATCCTAGCGTGACACTCTGTATATATAAATTTATAACACGTCCAAGTGAGTTTGAGTTACCCAGCAGTGGAATGATAACAAAAACATTCCTCTAACATTTAACTTTAAAATTATGAAAAGTTGCTCAGATTCTATTTACAAATTATAAAACGAACATAAACAACTATTATTGAGTTGTAACAATAATCTATACATACGGAAGCTTCATTCTCATAAATGTCCAACATGTAAAATATGATACAATGATGCATGCAAATCCAACACCAGTTAGAAGTGTGCGATTCAATTTTGGAGTTGATTTATTATTGGTTAAATCCAATATAACAAATCCCAAACCCCCAATGTTGAATAGAAAACTTGATGCTAAACCTTCCATTATGTATTGTCCATTAACTCTGTAAGGCATAAATGCCACCTATTTAATACAATGCATTATTTAAACAATAATTACTGGTAACACAATTTAAAATTTATAATCAAAATTTACTGGTTTTGAATGTCCTTTTTCATCGGTAGTCGAACCTACACTAGGTGGTTCTATGATGACGTCGTATATGATCCCTAAAGAATAATTATATGATTAAAGAAATTAGAAACCAAGTTATTGATAGACATATTTATTATTCAGTATTATGCATTTACCTCCAGTCACCAAAAAGTATGAGATTGTTACGATCACATACATGAACATAGCAGAAGGTTTCTTTAACCATGACGGTCGCTTTAAACGCAGATTTGGAACTTCAAGAACTTTAAAAGGTAAACCATATAATGATTCCATTATCAAAACATTAACTTTTGTGTGTTTATGTCAGCTGTGTGTGAACTATGAATGCAAAATTTTAATTTTAATTAGGTATATCCAAAAAAATAGCTTTAAAGAATTTATCTGCTAGTGATTACAATTATTTATAACTCACAAGCACAAGCCACAGTCTGTGGTCACAACTCTTACTTAAGCTACTTCTCCGTCTGGTAATTGGCAATTGGTAAACAAAAATAATTTATACGGTTATAGATTTATTCTCTACGACTATACTTAATAGCAATTAGAAAAATTGAAATTTGAAATCTTAATATAATCAATGATAATATATTGATCAGTGTTGATCGGTGATCAATAGACCACGGAGTACGAAGTGTACGAAGTCACTAGTCACTGGGCATTTGGTCACTATAAACTATAAAGTATTAGATAGAAACATTAGAAACCAACATGACAAAATAGATCTACGGAATACGGATAGATTAGAAACCACGAAAGCATGAAGACTTAAATAATAAATGCTTCATTGCCAAATGCCGATATCAGTAATACCGGGATGTTTAAGATAACGGGTAAGCTTGTGAGGGGGAAAATTAACCAAAAGTGGCCCTGCTCCACTCACTCACCCAAAGGTTCGTTTCCACGTTTCAAAGGTCCGTGATTTGAGATTTGTAGTCTTATAGTGTATAATGTATATGATCTAAGTTTGTAGTGCTTATAATATTTTTACTTCCATCTATGGTTATCACTATCAGATGAATAAAAATGATAACAATAATCAATACAAAACTTCGGGGAATCCAGACTTCAAGAGTTCCAGTTATGAATTTTGAATTTTTGATTTCCATTCGATTAGATCCAAATCCAAATTAAAAGTTATAATCATAGTTAATGCTATCATTTATTATTTGTTACCCTTCTGATATCGAAAATGTACAATAGTATTTGAAAGCTATTATAAAATTAATTTCCATTGTAGTACAACATTATCAATAACTAAAAGTTGATGTTTAAATATGGTGTGTCGGTACTCGATAACAGTAGTCATAACAGGAAGAAAGTTCTGCATCAATTAATTATTCACGTAAATTATTTCTTGAACAATTCATAAGTGATGTCTAGTAAATTGCCATCTAAATTATTTCATTTATTAAAGAAGACAAGTTGTGCATTATGTTCAAAACGATATTTTGGTGTTAATGTTAAACCTGAAAATGTTGATCCTTTTAGTAAGATGCATATTATGAAGTTAATTAATCTTTTTTTGAAATATTATTTTAAATACTTGTTTTTTTCTACAGTGGCACCATATAGTGAGTCACCTAAAGATCAGCAGCGTTTATATGTGTGGGGCATGGCTGAACATGGTGCTCTTGGTGATTTAAAAATCAGATCCAGAGAACGTCAGATACAGTTCATATACAGACCTGTGAGACTAAGATTTTCATACTCTCATAAAGTATGAATTATATTACCTATATTTGTATTATAAAGATTTTATATAGTATGTTCAACGATCAAGGTAAAACAGAATATTTCATTTTCTATTCAACCCTGTATTTCATTTGGAATCTTTTATTATACAAAGGATTTAATATTATTATTATCTTTGAAACATTTTAAATTTAAGAAAAATGTTTTTTTCAAACAACTTTGATTTCTGAAGTTTTTTCACATTAAAAATTGACTATACTAATTTAAATTTAAATTAAAATCAAAATTGTTTAATGCCATGACAAAAAAGTGTGCATTATGTGCACTGTATTAAAATGTGCATATTTCATAAGAAACTACACCTTTTAAGATAGTAAAATCGTTATAAGTCCGTCACTTAAAAATTAATTTGATTCAAATTTAAACTCAAAGGGGTGGGGGGAGGGGTTCATTCAAAAACTTTTTTTGATTAAAAAAAAAAAAGTAATTTTTCAAAAATATCTGCTGTAAAAAATACCAAATTAAATTCAGGGTCATTCGTTTTAAATATTTTAGTACCTTTATTGTTGAATTCACTATGCATAGGTAAAGGGATACTTATTACATACAAACACAACTTTCCAGATCAAAGATTTAGCATGCGGTTATGGATTTACAGTTTATGCTGTTGAAAGTAATCAATATAAACTCTTTGGCTGCGGCTTAAATACAGATTCACAGATAGGTAAAATTAAACCAGTCTATACTAACCATTTTTGATATGCAAAATTAATAATTTAATATTTGAAGTCTTTTCAAACTTAATTTTTGATTGGTGAAGATTGAAAAACAATTATCACAATTTTTATAATATTATAAACTATAACATACAAATCATACTGCATACCAGATAAGATAAGGGCAAATTTCAGAATGAAAAAATAGGTGGGCTAGACACATATACCAAAAAAAAAGTGATAAATTATAAATGTATACGGAATTGTAATTTATAAGTACTGTTATAGTAAATTGTATAAGTTTTTATACAAATATATCACTTGAACATCTACTTTTTTAATTGAAAATGAACAGTTATATTTTTTATAGACTTGATAAACGTTATTAAATTATGTTAGTATTTATTTATATCATTTTATATAGGGTACCATGATCCGCGAAAAGGGCATCCTTTAGGATTGATATTATCCACTGTACCGATTCAGCTTCCTTTGAAAGAACCAAATACTAAAATAAAAGCAGTGGCTGCCGGTCGAGCCCATTCGCTTGTATTAACAAACACAGAAGGTGTTTATGCTTTAGGTAGTAATTGTTATGGACAATGTGGTCGAAAAATTATTGAAAATGAAGACTTTAGTAAGCTACGGAATGCTAATAACATTACATTAGATGATGGTATTTCAAAGATAATTTGTGGCCAAGATCATAGGTAAACCAATTTTTTTAACTATTATCTCGTATTTTATATCATAAAAATAGTTTAAATGTGTTTGTTGGTTTAGTTTATTCATAACTAAAACTGGTAAAGTATATTCATGTGGATGGGGTGCCGATGGTCAAACTGGATTAGGACATTATAATAATGAATCCCACCCTACTATTGTTGAAGGAGACATTAAAGGTGAAAAAATTGTAAAAGTAGTATCTTCAGCTGATTGTGTTTTAGCCTTAAATGGTAAGCTATTTATTAAATATCTTTTATATTTTTAAATATTTAAAGAATTCGTTCAATAAAAATGAATCAAAAAGATAGGAAGAAATTATAAACAACGGTTCTTTTACAGTTTACACTGGTTAATAGGACACCAATGCTCGCATGTGGTGTCTTAGTCTTAAAAATTGTACATTCTGAATAATCCATTTAACTCTATTATGATACCTTTTATAAAATTTATGAGTAAGAGTATTATCTAGTGAACTTCATAGGTGTTTTTAGATTTTAATTATAAAGCGAGTTTTTAGTATTTTAAAATTGTAACTTGTTTGTGAATTTTTAAATACTCATAGGCCATAACTTGCTTTAAAATTTAAATTTAAAAACACCTGTGAAGTTCACTATATAATACTCTTACTCATAAATTTGATAATAGGTAAATTTGCTCTAATATTAAACATATCTGAGTTCAACAGATTATTCAGAATGTACAATTTGCAATGTTATGCGTTTGTAAGACAGAGACAACTTATATTAATAAAATGTAATACTTGTTAATGGAATTATTTTTTTTTTTTTAGATCAAGGAGAGGTTTTTGGTTGGGGTAATTCAGAGTATGGTCAATTACTATTAGACAGTGATAAATATCAAGTCAATACACCAAAGAAATTACCTTTGAATAAAGCTATGGGTAAAATCACTGATATTGGTGCTACTGGATCAGCTTGTGTAGCACTGAATGGTAAACGTATATAATTTTGTTAAAAATGACTTACATCTGATCAATTTTCCTATACAGATGAAGGTGTGGTCTTTGTTTGGGGTTTTGGTATTTTGGGCAAGGGCCCTGAAATGAACCAAAGCCGTGAACCAACTCCAATACCGCCGATTTTATTTGGTAGGAATCAATATAATCCTGAAACACAAGTGACATCTGTGTATAGTAGTGTATTTCACATGGCCGCAATTACATCTGAAGGAAATCTATACACCTGGGGTAAAAATAAATGGGGCCAATTAGGTCTTGGGCACACAAAAGATCAATATTTTCCTTTACAAGTAAATCAATTTTCATATTCAATAATGTAACAAAAAGCAAAATTGGGTTGATATTTAATTTTAAAATAATTTTTAAGGTTTCAATTGGCGCTGCTGTTAAACGTGTGAGTTGTGGAGTTGATCATATGGTTGCGCTGTGTACACCATACCAATAAAACAAAACAAAATCATTATTTGCAATGTTTGATTTCTATACCAACTAGTTAATAAATGTATTGTTTGTAATATTTATTTCTTCATTTCATAATATGAGTTGCAGTGATTTTTCTATCGATTCTTTAGAAACCTCAGAATTGAATTCTAATGATAAGGTTAAGTATGTCAAACAAAATACAACATCAAATACTGAGTGGCAATTGTTTGACCTGATGTTGGTTCCTTTGTATTCTGGACCAGTTTCTTTAAAAGAACTTAAAAATATAGAAGTAAATGGTGATAAAATATTAGAATTAGAAACTAAAGAATTTTCAAATATAAATAAGAAGAAACATTTATCAAATACTGCAGATAAATCTAGGGTAAATAAAAACAATTATTAATAATTACTGATCGGTATAATAATGATAATGTTACATAAGTGTATCTAAAATTAATAATAAATATATTTTATTATTATTCTACAGCTGAAGAATTGTAAACATTCTAAAAGACAAGGAAAAAAATACAGTTCAAGGTATTACCCTAAAACTAATCAGAAAATAAAATCTATAAGTTGAATATTTTTAGTATGTAAATATATTGAAATAATTATAATGTTTAGAGCATATTTTATGAACATTGAACAGATGAAACAAATTTCAACAAAAGACAAAGTAACAACCCATAAGGAATATAAAGAAAATTATTGTATTAAAAATGAAACAACATAACTAATTTATTGAGAACAAAATATTTTTAAAACAAGTTAAAATGAACAAAATACAAAACTAAATCCTTAAACGTAAGAATAAATTTTATTTTTAAAAACGTTGAATACACATAGTTCAAAGATTTTAGGTTCTGAATGAAGAGATAAAATGAGAAGTGTATTGATTTTACGATTAAATATTTTTTTTCATGTGCAGATAAGTATATATAAATTTTCTTTTTGTTCATCTATCACTATTCATCACCTTTAAAGGTGTAAAGCAGAAAATAAGCTTTAATTCAACTTGAAGAGTGGTTTATTTTATGTAGTTGGTAATTTGGATTTATACATTACCAAAGTACATCTTCAAACTAATCTGGGGAAACGAAAATAATAATTAATTATGAAACAATGCAACAAAATTACTATTTTTTTTTGATATTTTTAAAAATGAAGTACTGTAATTCCTCAAATTTATCACTACTTTCTAGACATTATATATTATGCCCCCTTGTTCTATTCGCAGACACATGAATTTTAGATCCTGGATGTAGCGATGAATATTTTGTTTATATGCATTTACTATGTGTATTTTTTTGTGTGCAAGGCACTTTTTCTAACAGTAAAATTGGCCTAATCATCAACTTCTATTTTAAAACTTAAGAAAATTATTGGGAAAAAAAAGTGGTCTAGTAGATACCGTTCTGCTATACATCCATAAAATGTCGAGTTGGTCACTATAATGGTTGTCTAGTATAAAAAATCAAGGTGATTGCGATTACACTATACAAAAAATGATTCTGAGCGATGACAGTTTACTATTCTATATTACTAATTATATTTTATGATAATATTATCATTGCTATTAAACTAATTTATTTTATTATAATTAGTACAACACCTAATACCAATGGATTGAATTATTTTTTTAAAGAACATTGCATTTGAAAATTTGTGTATAAAATACAAGGCCATGGAGAGTTTAGTGGTTGTGATGACCCCTCATTCAAAGCCACATATTTAGAGGGAGAGTGCACCCTGTTACCCTATTTAAAAGTATTTTTTGGTGAAATCATAACTTACTTAAATATGTACAAGTTGTTATAAGTATATAAGCTTATGTGCTAAGATACTTTTTATGCTATTGTTAATAAACCATGTAAAACTTAATTATAAAGTTATTATTTTCATATTGAAGTAAATCAAAATTGACTTTATTTGATTGTAATAACTAAGGCTCGGATTTGTACCTATGAATATACATTTTTTAACCTAAGTGCCTAAATTATGCTATAAAGTAAAATTTCTTAGTTTTATTTAAAATTATTTAAGAGCATATGGTTTGTATTTGAATTAAATTATTAAAACTTTTCAAGTATGCTCAAAGGATGTGGATACCGACATCCTTTGAAACTAAATGTCTAAACATGATAATCATATATTTTTAAGAAATTCCTTTATGATAACAGTTCCAACAGATGAATGAAAAAATTTAAAACTTAGTTTTGAGTGAATTCAAATTCCTTCCATTTATCAATTCTGGCCATTATCAGAGTGGCCAAACATGTAAGCCTGCCAATAATCATTGTGGTTTGATTTTAATTTAAAGAATATAAAATGTACTTATCTAAATTTTATTTTAGATTAATATTTAATTTACTAATAGAAAAACAAAATTATGAATCATAACATTATTTATTCAATGTAAAGTTATTAGACATTCATTTTTCTATCTTACATCAATACTGTATAATATAATATAAGTATGAAATATATAATACATCATATCATTTTAAATTATTTATTATAAATAATATTTATTCATTAAAATTCTTGATTACCATATGCAGAAATCATAATTGAAGTTATGCCTTCGGGAGTCTCATTTTTGGTTTTAAAGTTTCCTAAAATTAATGCTATTTTAGCAGCTAAAAAATGTTTGCAACACAATGCTTTATCTTTTAATACTTGATGTTTGAAAAAATTGCACGTACAAAAGTTGGCTGTTTCCATTATTGTATAAATATCACCTCTTGAGCCTACTATTTGAAGTATGCGTCGTTGATGACTTTCAATTAAAAACACACTACCATCATCAATTAGTTCAAGAGCATGTTCAGTCAATGTCGAACCAAACACAGAGTTCAAGCTTAATAATAATTCTTCCATACAAGATCTTTGTTCATAATCTTTTCTTAAATTATCCAATACTTCGTACACAATTGCAGGTAGTAGCCTATTAGTCATTTAAATGTATTCTGTAATAATATTTACCAATTTGTTATAATTAGTTAATTAATAAAAAAAGTTTTCATGAGACTGAGTTAGCACATATTATAGCATAATAAATAAAAGTATTATCTTATATTCTTATGTATAAATTAAAAATTATTCTAAACAAAACCATATGTATTTTTTTAAATGTCCAAACATTTATAATTCAGGTGGACAACAATATCACAAAAATTAAAGTCATTGCTGTTAATAAAATCTGCAATTATGACGTTTACGCCATGCTTGTAACCTATTTTTTGATTATTTATCCATTTAGGTATTGCAATATTTAATGGACGACAACAATTTTGAAGATTTAAATAAAAATATCTCATTATAAACTTTACATCAGGAGTAAAAAGACATTGCGTTACATATCCTGCATTTGGTTTTCTTTGTTTGAGACCACAATCTAAAAATCTTATTAATTTTTTGTAAGATGTAGTCTGTGGCCATGGTGTTGGCCAACGTGAAGATGGCCAAAATATGTCATCTTGAGTATGTCTATAAACAATAATTACCTACAAATAATAATACAAAATTAATTTAGAATTTCTCAACTACATACAAATGTGTAAATTACTTAAGAAAAAATAAAAGCAGAAACATAACAAGATTTAATTTAATTACCTAACAAATGTGAAAAAATAAAAAAATATATTAGTGATGTATAGATGTTCGTACTCCATATGCATTGAAAGATTTTAATAAACTTTAAGCACTTTATAATATGTATGAATTTTAATTTGTAATATATATTTTATTACCTGCCAATTATTTGCCCTCATTGTATCTAAGTCAAGCATCTCAACTGGATATAAATAAGGACAAATCATATTATGGAATAGTAATTTCAAAACTGAGGATAATCGATTGTGATCAGCTTCTGAGAAATTATAAAAATGTTGAAAATCCAATATGATAATCTCTTTGGTGTGTGTCACCAAAAATTCCTTTATATTCACCAACTCCTTTATAACTGGATCACCATAAAGTGCATGCACTGTGTAAAAATTGGAATCATTTGGTTTAGTTGCCATCCTTAAATCAAAATACCTGAAGAAAAATTAATATAAAATTAATTTTAGGGACAATTTTAGTTTAAAAAAACTGTTTGTGTTTATATATTTGTATTTCCAACTAAATTCAACAGTGTATTCACCAAGGCTGTATGAAATGGAAAACATATCAACATATTATGCAAATAAAACTTTAAAACTTTAAAACTTTAATTATTGGTCAATTCAGAAATCAACCATAATCATAACCATCTATAATTGTAGTGTTTAAAATAGAACTATTAACGAATTGATTTAAGTTACAAACACAAACAAAATAAATATTTAAATTACCTTATTCCAAGACGTAGTTGAGTTTGAATATTACATGTCTGAGTTATAGACCATTTATAGACGAATCGTCGCATGGCAGGTCCTAATAGGCAGTTTAAATATTTTACAAGTCTTGATGCATCTGGCCCTAATTCACTATGTGGAGTGATGGTGTACGAAAATGAATCGTGAGATCCTAAGACGTTTACCAGTTTATATATATAAAAAATGTCTTAATAAATACATAGTAATAACTTATAAGGTATAATATTATGGCTTTCTCAGTCTCTTAACTTTATACACATTAATTAGGTACCACAAAAAGTTATTTAATAATACCTGGAATTGCTAATTGTGTAATAGGAACAAATGTAAGTGATTTGGGTAGTTCTGACACCCAATACTCTTGATTTAACTTCATTTCTAAAACAAAATAAAAAATACAATTAATTTAAAATAATCTAAGAAACATACTATAGTAAAAATAATAGTTATTATTGATGAATGAGACAAATTGTGTGATATTTATGAGTTGAGAAAGAAAAAAAAAATTCAAAAAATCTTTTGAGAAGAATATAGATCACACATAGGTACTTATAACATTAAAATACGTGTGTTAGATGAAAATATGAAATACTATTGAAAATAATTTTAACACTTAAAGATGTTATCAAATTAGCAGAAAAATTACTAAAATATATTCAACCTATTTTGTGATAAAAAAATATTATTTAATACCTACTTATGGCGAACGGCCACCTTAATAGTTTGATCTTTGATATTATTTTTAAGCTAACCAGACAGTATGAATTGTACAATGGTACAGTTCATACAAATATTGAGAGCATAATGAAAATAAACTCATGAATAATTGACAATGGATGCGACAAAAAAACTCTCCGTAAATATTAAATAATAACAAGACCAGGATATGACATATAAATTGATAAGTATTATACTTTATAGTCTAGAATACTTTATTACTATATATAAGGGCATATGGGTAAAATAGATAGAAGGGGAAAATGTCATGAGTTGAAGAGTCACGATTATACAACATAAAATTTCCACGCGCCATATTATAAATTCACAAACTAACTACTAATTACTTTTTACGATCAAGATGTTTAATAGTAAACAATTTAAGATTTTCTTATTTCTTACTATTAATACAGAATATGCAACATTACAATCACATAAGGGTTAAATTCAGATTTCATATACTTAGATAAATTACTATGAATTATGATTTACAATTCGTGAGGTAAAGACGTCGCCTGCTGAGCACGGGAATTTCAATTTTGAATTTACGAAATTAAATAACAAATAAAAATATTGGGCATAAGATACCCGCATAATGTGAGAGCAGAGGGACAGACATCGCAAAAGGGTACTGTAACTATTGTTCTGTGATAGTACTGAAATACTGAATACAGTGTTGAATAACGATTAATAACCATAGATAAGAATACTAATAATACCATCGAGATAGATAAACAATATAATATATTGTATTGTTTATCTATCTCGATGAATAATACTTATGTAGTTGATTAACAACTAAAAACTGAATCACGGATATAGATACCACAGAATAGATTAAATGTAGATACTATACTATACTAGTGTCTAGTATCTATATTCGTGTTAAATAAATAAAACAAACAACAATAGGTAGGTACCACGATTTAAGATTTTTATCCACAGGCAATATACTTTTCATATACTCAGTGGATATACCGCAGATATATACTTTTATAGTGAAATGTACTAGATACTCAACAACACATGATAAGGAGCTCCTAAACTGACTTTCCAAAAGTGGAAAGGTATACTAGTAGCACGAATTAAGATATACCTTAATAAGGTTTATCTTAATTCGTGACTAGTAGTTACTCTCTAAGGGAATTAAATGTATACTACTATTATAGATTGACTATTTAAAAATATTATATATAATATAAAAATATAATATAATTTTTAAACGCATATTTCAAGCATTATTCGTAGCATTTACTATTTACAGATTTAAAGTTAAATTCTTAGATTAGAATACCTTTAAATTATTTTACAAAAGTTACCACTAATATGATAACAAGCGCTAGGTGTATTTTTCAACAGCTGTTCTAGCAAGTCAATTTGGATTCAAGAAAAATAGGTGTTCAATGTTCATATAGATCGTTGGATATCCACTATATTTTAAGATAATCGTGTCTATAACCAGACTTCGTCGGCCGCCCGATGCGTTAAGCGTTCTGAAATACTAAAAATAATATTATATTTATTATATAATATCATGGCTTATGTCAGTCAAGGTTCGTGAATTGCATAAAATAGTCATATATTTATTAAACTAATATTAGACTATATTTCTTTATATATCTATGAAAATAGTTACATAGATTATATAATTTATATATTTTATATTAGAGAGCCTTTAGAGGCTCTATATTTTATATTATATACTGGCTGCCATCGACGACAATGTCGTTGAAAATTGAAAATTGAAATCATGATTAAAGATAAATATATCAGTATATCTTTAATCGTGGTTGAAATTACTTATAAAAGTCGCTCCTGTTGTAGTGCTGAACTGCCCCCTACTCCTGTGATAGGTGGTTAAAAAACAAAAAATTGAGGAGGTGATAAGGATTTTTGGTAAGGCTTGGCTGCTCATTTCGAACGCGGGAATGTTTGAAATTCCAGTTTCAGTGTCTAGAAATCTCACATCGCCCATGAAAATCGGCAATTTGAACAATACGATTCCTCGTCGAATGTTTGGTGCTTTTTCGTATGTAAAATATTTATATTCGAAATCCATGTTTGATTGTCTAGCAAGTCAGTCACCTCAAGTAAAAATCGATTCTCATTCAAGTTATCCACCTGGGTAGGCAGTACGACTTCGTCGCATCGAGAACAATGTACTACAGTTAATCAGATAGGTTATCCACCTGTGGTGTATTGCGGATCCGCCGTTCAGCGGCTATATGTATATATAATATATGTAACAAAAGATATGTAAATATCATGCTACCATGCATTGGATATTTGGATGCGAATACATATTGCAATTTCTGTTGTTGTAAAAAACTAAAATATTTTTATTTTATACAATACGCATTATTATGCATAGTATACTATAAAATTATATTGTTCTGTATTAAATTAAGTGTAATTAGTATATATTATGCATGTTGCATGTATGTAGCTACATAATTAAGATATAGGTAGGTACGTAAATATATTAGCAATATACAATAAGCGTTAATGGACAGTTTATAATTTTATGTACTGTCTTTTATTTATTATTATTATTATTATGTACTTTTTAGTAAGTTAATTTAAATCAAACCACAAAATTTTGTTTTTATCAAGCAATACGTTTACAATATACGTTGGTTTAACTTGTTATGTGTGTGTGTATTTTAATATGCAGTTAATATAATTGAAATTGATTATAATTTAATTTAATTCTATATTCTATATTATTTTATATAATCTGTGAAAGTAGCAACATCAACATTACATATTATTATATAGTAAGAAATGAAAATGATTTAAAAATAATAATAAAAACCTCAAATTTTATACAGTAGATATTTGTGCAATATTCAAAAGAATGTAAGAATGGATTTTAAAAACAGATTAGAATATTAACAATCCAACTTTATATAGTCTTTTTAACATAATCACGCCATACATGAAGCCAATGAAAATATGGTCTCTGCTGTAAAAAAGCAAAAAAACTATGAAGCCAAGAGCCCAATTAATCGGTGACGTACCTACCTAGTCAAATTGTTACAAGTGCAATACTAAACGTAACCGATGCTGTATTAGCCGATTTGTAGAGGGGAGAGTATTTAAAAATGTCTATTCCAAATAAATGAATACTTTTATCATTTATGTTAGTCAACACATAGGAAAGTACAAAAACTATAAACAAGATAGCGAGTTTATAAAGTTGTATGGTATTATCTATAGCTTAGCTTTTTTTTACCTGAGGATAAAGTGCTAATATGAATGAATTTCTCAAAAGAAAATATGCCATCTATCATGCAGAAGATCTTTTGTTCTATTTTATTTTTATAATGCAAATGGAATATACAGGCGAGTAAGAGCCACCTCATCCATGTGTTTGCGAAGAATACTTTCTATATGTTTCCACCTTCCGCGTGGAATGTGCATCAAATAACATTGAAGTGTGGGCATCCCGCCAACAATGTAACCGAGGGTTGTAATAACCGATTTTCAAAGTTCTGTGACAATATACATCCTACAAAAGTGGAATTCAATAAAAAAAGTTGCTGCGGACCAAGCTAAATTGGCATTGAGTAATGTAGGAGAAGATCATGCTGCAAGTTCAAAACTTGGTCAAATACTTTTAATTAAAAACCGTCTTTAAAATGTATGTATTCGAATATAAAATAAAAAATTACTATTATAGACTTTTTGATGGCAGTAAGCCACAACATTTGAAAACAATGCTATTAAATTTCACAACTTAAACTTATTGTATTAATATATTATCTTATTATAAGAGTTTAAGCTTATTTATTTAAATTTTACTGTGTGCCTTTAAATATTCATAAAATATTTTGTTTCGTGATTTGTATATTTTTTAAAAGTGATATAACTAGTTATTTTTGAATGGAATAACTAATAAACTATTTTTTTCTCGATTTTTAACTTAAGTAGGTATTCTATATTTTTATTTCTATTTCATATGGTTTTCAAAAGTTTTGACAATATAGGTATCAATATTATATACAATATTACAAGAACATAAATATATCATATGATTACCTAATGAAAAACAATACTTAATGTAGACCGTGGAGTGGCCTAGGCCTATCCAATATCGATATCTTATTACTATCTATGTATTCACTATTCACAATCAATGATCAATTTGTATTATTATTTTTGACCAAATTTCACAACTTCTAACACACTTCCTTAATCGTTGACTGTTGTCACTTGACACCGATTTGATATCAATCCACCTTGGTCATCGTTCATCACTATTATTATTAAACTGTGCCTACCTATAGTGAATACAAACATATTTTTTACTATTATTTTGTTACTATTTTACAAACACAACTGTCAACTACACAATATTGCACAAACGACTAACGAGTTTCTGTAAAATTGTACTGCAAACATGTCACACGTGGTACGTGGAAGCAGAATTAATTCCATCTGATCATCTATGTTTTCTATGACTGGCAACTGCACACCGTCTGATAGATACTATTAGATACCTATCATAGTGTAATCCATTGATATATTTCAGACTCGTTCGACCGTATTCTACCGAGTTGGATAACAATTTCGCCCACTATATTTTGTTATCCACTCCCGGGACGTTGACATCAAATTTCAAACCAAACTTAAAAAGTAAAAATCCGTCGCTCTTGCTCATCTCAATAATCAAAAAAATGAAGGGAGAAGGTCGGCATGTCAGTATGTCACGATATCGGAAAAAAAATACAAAATATAATGGTAGGCTTGAAAATTTTGATTTTCAATATAATATATTCTCTCAAAATTAATTTTGATTGTTTTATTGATCTTTTTCCATATTGTAGTAGGTTGTGCGATCGCTTTTGACTGGTAAGCTTGTGCTACAAGACTATTAAGATATATCCTATAGCAAGGCCGTAGAAAGGGGGGGGGGGGGGGTAGGGTTCAACCCCCACCACCCGAAATTTTTTTTGAAATAAGATTTAATTATTTTTTAAATAAAGATTAATTTAATTGAAATTATATTTTTATATTTTCATATTTTATTATATAATTACATATTTATACTCTAACCCCCCCCCCCCAAATATTTTTCTGGCTACCAGCCTTGTCCTATAGGTATATAGGTATCTCGTATTATATTTTTCTCGTTTTTCTGAATCCGGAATAAGTGGAATCTTGATTGCTCGTCGCTCATTCATTCGAAATTGTTTCATATCATTTCTCACGTTTATAAGTAACAAAACGAACAATAGTTTATTGCAAATATATATTTTAAATATTGTGGACAATTCTTTTCATAAATTGTAAAAACTATCATAATCTCGAAAAGTTTTCATTGTGGTTTTTGGAATAGTTGTGAATATTTTTCTTATTTATTTTGTTCATATTTATGTATATTCAC